GAGAGAGAGAGAGTTACAGTGAGGAAGAGAGAGAGAGTGTGTATTAGCGCTGATTAATGGCATCAAAGGTTGCATGTTGCGGGGTCCAATTCTGGCTTTACTTGCTGGCCATCATCGGATTGGTCACTTTTGCAGGTCTAATGGCCGGCCTCACACTGGGCCTCATGTCCCTCGGCCTGGTGGACCTCGAGGTGCTCATCAAGTCTGGCCAACCCAAAGACAGGAAGAACGCTGGTACCTCATTTCTCTCTCTCTCTCTCTCTTGATTGGCTGAATTTCTTTCATTTTCTGTCTTCCTTCAATTACTACTTATTTCTCATTTCCTTTCTCTTACTACTTGGTCGCTCTGAATTGCGATCATGTGCTGTGTTTGAGTTGTCTCCAATTTCTTTCCCTTTAAGCTGCTAAATTTCTTCCGTCCTTTTTTTTTTTTTTTCTTTTCTTCTTTTTTCTGCCACTCAGGCACATCTGAATTTACTACTTTATTGTATCGAAATTCTTGAGATTTTTCATATTTTGGCTTTGCGGTCCAAATGAAAATGAATGAATAATCTGGAGTTTTTAGTTCTCATTGAGAAGGTGAATCAGAGGCTTTTAGGTGTGCCTATGGGTTTAACGCAGATTGCATATCTTGAGACAGTTTCAATCGGTTTGCCAGGACCAAACCATTTGTGGATTTAATTTAATTTATTGTTATTATTTTAATACTCACTTCATCGGCCTCTCTGTTTTTGGTTTATTTTCATCCAACAGTCGATTATATGATCACACAGCGGTGCCAGTTTACTTTAATTTCCTTTAGTTACATGTAATTCTGGTATTTTAGAAGAAGTCATTATTTAGGTGGGATGTTAAGTGTTACTGAGATTCTTGATCAGAGTAATGTGGGGCTGCCTAGGGTGATTTCAGTTTTCAAACATGCGGTTATCTAATTCTGTTGTTTAACTGTGGAAGGGGCCTTTTTTGGTAACAATTGTTGTGTTTGTGCAGCAAAGATATTTCCTGTTGTTAAAAATCAGCATCTATTACTGTGCACTCTCTTGATTGGCAATTCCTTGGCTATGGAGGTGTGTACCATTCGAAATGCTCTTTGTTCTACTCGTCAATGCAAAGAAATGATGAAGCAGCTTACTTTTTTTCTTTTTTCACCGGGTTACGATCTTTTTTTGATAATGTTGTTTTCTCTGTTTTTGCTTAGGCTCTTCCAATTTTCCTCGACATGTTGGTTCCTTCGTGGGCTGCTATATTGATCTCTGTCACTTTGATACTCATGTTTGGAGAGGTCCATGTCACCTGCCCTGCTTTCCCATTGCATAGGATTTTGTACAGGTTAATGAAACTGCTTAATTATTAGTCCCTATTCCGTAAGTTAACTATTTAAATGTCATTGAATTTTAGATTCTTCCACAAGCTATATGTTCACGCTATGGAATGAGCGTTGGAGCAATTATGGCACCAGTTGTTCGTGTTCTCCTGGCGATCTTCTTTCCTGTTGCATATCCCATTAGTAAGGTATGCACTCTGAACCTTTTTGTTTTCCTGCACATGAGAGACTTTGTATGTTTCTGTTAACATGGATTGGTGGGTGGTGCTACTAATAATTGGAGAATATCATAAGATGTATTAGAGGATATTATCAAGTTATTTGCTATCTAGTTTCCTGGAGATTGCTTTTTAGAATGTAAATTCGTATCCTAATAGCATGGTTGATGCTTTTGGCTTAAAGGGGGTACCTAGACCAAAACTGAGTGTTTGGGAGCAATTGTACTTGTGTATTGAGCCAGGCCACCAGCTATATGTATACTAGTAATACGATTTAGTTGTAAGAAAAGAGTCTTTTAGTTTTCGCATTGACTTTTTTCTTATATCCATGACTTCATGTGTTGTCTCTTAGTTGTCTCCCTTAAATAAAACATAGAGTCATGTTCCTCTGCTCAGTTTTCCTACGTGATTAGCTTGTTACAAAGAGACAAAAGCCTTGGTTGTAAATTATGGAGAAACTTTTCAATGTTTGTTGTGAAACTCTTCAAATATATGCACTTTTATAACTTCCTGGAAAGAAAAATAAAAGTTCTTGCTAATTGTTCTCTTTCTTATAGATGAAAAGCTGTATTCAATCTAGACTTTTGGGCTAAATAGACAATGGCAATTGAAATATCATGTGCTTTCAAGTGCATATGTTTTTCTCTGTCTGCAGATTCTGGATGGTCTTCTAGGGAAAGGGCATGCTGTCCTTTTACGAAGGGCAGAGCTGAAGACATTTATGGATTTTCATGGCGACAAGGTATTGCATATAACTTGGAATCTCTTGTGCCTTTTTTTCTCTCTGCCTATTATAAGTTTCATGATACCTCTAGTTTCTTTGTTTTTTATCGTTAGAAATAGGTTAACATTTTGTTTTCCATGTTTGAGTTTCCCAAGTTTGCAATCATCAAACTGTTGTATTTCATCATATAAAACGTTCAGACCATGCTCATCCATTTGCAAAATAACAATTCTATATGGCCCAATCCCTTGGACCTTAGTTTATATAACTTTTTAGGTAAGTCAAGCAGTTTACTTTGGCTTGATCCATCTCGAGAAATACAAGCCCCTGAAAATTTGACCAATGTAAAAATCTGTTTCATTCAGCCTTTTCCATGATATTTGATTTAAATTTCTCAATCTCTTCATTTTCAAAAATAAAAATAAAAATCCCAATCTCTTCATTATTTGGCCTAATTAACCATTCCATTCATTTTTCTCGAAGAAAATATGAAGTCTTTCCTGGAAAACTAAAGCATAGAGACATAGTTTTGCATGACAGAAATGGTGTTGCAAGATATTCTGACAGCATCATAGTCTCCTCTTATTTGATTTTGTGTGAGTGTTTCCTAGACACTTTACCTTCGGTTTGTTGTTGTGTGTTGACACATGTCGACATTCAGAGATATGTCGGTACTTATTGAAACATGGACGGCACTTGACCATATGTACTCGCTGACATCATCTCATTTTGAATGTGTTTCGACATTTTTAATCAAAGTATCGTGGATCTCTTAACATAAAAGTCATAATGCCCATACGGTAGCACGAAATTGTTGTTTCAATTTGTAAGGTCTAGGGTTCCAATCTTGGCAATTTCCTTCTTTTTTTTCCTAGCTCAATTTTTTAATAATATATATAGTTAATAGTTTCATTTATTTTTATTTATTTTTGATAATATATGCTGTAAGAAAAATTAGCTCATATGGTATGAGCCTCAAACATCATGCATGACCGTTGTATAGGGTCATAACTATTAGTGAAAGTTATGCAAATGTTTATTATAGGTCTTTAAAATGTTATTCAATATCATCATCATCGTCATCATTATCTAAGCCTTATCCCAACTATTTAGGGTCGGCTACATGAATCTTATTCCGCCATTCTGCTTATTGGTTTAGGATTCATAACAAGATTTGGCAAAGTTTCACCCTAGCTGCCTGTCCTAACACAACCCTCCTCCTTTACTCACACTTAGGACCGGCATGACCAGCTTGGGCTGGCCAAGACGGAGTTCTTTAAAATGTTATTCAATAAATAAAACATAAAATGCAACCCGTGATGGATGGAACTTCTTACTTCAGGTATAGGAAGCATCCAATTTATCAAAGCAAACACCATGAGGCAGGTGATTAAATATCTATGGCATATTATATAAATTATATGCCTCTTTCCTGTACGAAACTATTGGACAAGTGCTAGCTTTCTGGCCCAATGTACTAGACACCCTAGTCCATCTGATACCGACACTCGTGTTGGTATCCATGTACACTGCTTTGTACTTTACCCAAAAAGCTTTTATTAATTTGTCAGGAGTATTCCTGGCCTTGGGGATCTACTTGAAAATACAGAGTACTGGAATTTGTCTTGGATAGACTATTTTGATCTTTTGAAAAAAAAAAAAAGAAGAAAAAGGGAAGAGAACTTTGTATTTGTATGCATAAATTTCAGTTCACACACCAGATGACTTAAAAGGAAAACTCATGCTCAATGACCTCATTGAAAGAATATTCAGTAACTACCATTTCTTCTTGCATTTCTAGAGTGTAAGGTTCAAATGCAACACATGTGCTTTAGATTATTGCAAAAATGAGTCATGAAGAGCCTTCCATAGATCTAAAGCAGCGGGTATTCCAATAATTTGTGCTAGAATTTATTCCGAAAAGGTTTGATTGAATCATCCAATGAGTTGCTGGTTGTTAGCAACCGACTCTTCGTAAGTGGGGTTTATGGAAACAATATTCATTGTCTTCCCATTATCATCAATCTCTTCTTTTGTGATGAGTTTCGAAGATGAAGGGTTTGATGGGACCCTTCCAAATTATGAATTGGATGAGGTCAACTTGGTCGTGACCATAGAAAATGGATGTGAATGGCACATTATTGTAAAATGGAGTATGAGGGTTAAAGTAGGCTAGAAGGCAAAGGGAGGAGCATGAAACATATAAAGTGGTGAAGTAATGGATAGAATCGTAAATAAAGAGGTAAGTTAAATTGTTAGGTTTTCTTTGAGTAGAAAGAACAAGAGAAACCAAGACTTTTAAGCATTTAAGTTCTTAATAAGAAAAAGCCCCAGACATGTTGATACAGGCTGCAAGTTTTCAAATGAGAAATTTTTTGGGGTTTGATGGAAGGTCAAGCAAATTTAGGCTTTCGAAAGAAATTATTTGTTCAGAGAGAGCCCAGAGTTGGGGATATGTGCTGTAAAATTTCGGTGAGAAAACTGTGTGAGATAAAATTTCCATGAGAGAGCATTTGGTAAATCACCACCCCCCCCCTCCTCTTCTCTTTTATTTTTTTCATATAGGTTGTTGGTAAAAGAGACGCAAAGAGAGATTAGAGCAGTGTTTTAAAAATCGCCGATCCGATCCGGAATCGGGCGATCCGGATCGGATATCGGCTGTACTGTTCCGAATCTGTATAGAAACGGGACCGGGCCTGATAGAACATCCATACCATTTTTCCATTAAAATATTCTCCTTTCCGTTATTAAAATATTATGTCCTTACCCAAACCCTCCTGACCTTTCCGTCATTTTTCTATTAAAATATTCTCTCCGTTCCCAACCTCACCTTGAGGTCATCAACATGCACCTGCCCTGCACCACAACCACATTAATTGATGGTCTCAAGCGTCAAGCAATTTGTTTTATAGGTCATGTTATTCCCACATCTTTTCGATGTGGGACAACTATCAAGTCCATCTACCACGCCATTTTCTATTAGTGGTTAATAGATGTTTGATTAGACTATAAAGATAGCGCGGATTAAAAAAATGTTTGATGAGAATCTTTTAATAAATGGGCTGTATGTGCGAGACTATAGAGATTTTAGAAATGTGGGAAGAAAATGGGTCGTAAATATTGGTGTTTACAACTTGTAATACAATGCAACTTCCATTGATTAATATTATTAGGATCTTAGGCATTATTTTATTTTATGATTAATATTAAGATATTAGTTAATAGGGATTAAAAAAAATAGTACTAGCTCATGGGATATTAAAAAAGCAAAAAATATTACTAATACTAGTCTATTGAACAGTAAAAATAAATAAAAAATTAGTAATTTATTTGTAAGGGTCATACCCTTGTTTTTTGAATCACGTTTATTATAATATTGTAATTAATAATTATACTAATTACAATGATAATCAAATCTTATATTTATTTATTAATTAATTTATTTATAAATTATGCAATGTATTATTTTTTGTTATAGTTGTAAATTCGATTTTTAAATTAGATGATATTATAAGACAAATTTCAAATTTATTCTTATTTTTGTAGTAAATTGATGATAAAATGATAAAATACAAACCAATAATTATAATTTCAATGCATAATATTGTATTTAGTTAGGTTTTAATAAATGTTTGATGAGAATCTTCATACAAGGAAATAACATCTCAATATTCGCATATTGATGTAAAAAAATAGAAGTTATTAATGTAGTACCCTCATTTCTTATTGGATTCATAAAAAACAACATTTATAATGATTTTGAATAATTTTTTTGAATTTTTTTAAGGCCGAATCCGACCGATTTAGCCGATTCTTGATCCGAAACATTCACCAATCCGGATGGGTTTTTGGGGTGCCCGATCCGGGGCACCGATCCGTTTTTTAAACCACTGGATTAGAGTTAAGAAAGAGAGGGAGATTTTAAGATTAGGTGGCTGACTTGAGATTAAAAGAAAGAGAGATATTAGGGTTTAGAGAGAGGGAGAGTTAAGAAGAGAAAAACGGATTGGTGTGAACCCCCTAATTAGAGTATGTTGGAGGTGCCTCTCATTATTTTTTTGGTTGAGTCAGTGGGAAGAGGGCCCCTACCCTTGGTAGGAATTGAGCCTAGGACGTAACGTTGCAAATCGTCAAGCGCCTAACCAATTAAGCCCAGGCTCTTTTCCTAGGTGCCTCTCATTATGTTACTAAATATTACATTGTTGGTTGTTAGGGTATGTATAATTACATAAATGCCCTTAACATCCAGGAATATTGCAAACTAATAATGTAATGAAGTAACAATGACAGCAATGCCATTTATACATCATACATTGTCTTAACATTGTGGTCTTGCATATGTGCTAGTAATCATATCAGACGGTATGATACATAGTCTTAACATTGTGGTCTTGCATATGTGCTGGTAATTATATCAAACAGTATCATGTGTGAATTCGTTAACCTCATTAAAAAAAAACGGTATCATGTATAAAAGTTGATAGTTGGTTTATAAGATCACAGGTGATTTTTGTGGCTTTTCATACATGTTGATCTGTCTATTTTATTACTCTTGTTTGTATTATTTTTGGCATATCTTGCCACCTGAGGTTTTTAAGCCCTAAATTGGCTTCAACTTTAGGCTCGAACTTTCTGTGGAACTAATGCAATGGTATTTTGCATATCTGATGTTTATATATTCCCTAGGCTGGAAAGGGTGGGGATTTATCACAAGATGAGACAACCATTATTTCTGGGGCCCTTGACTTAACTCAAAAGACTGCTAAGGATGCCATGACTCCTATATCAAAAACATTTTCTCTTGATCTAGATGGCATTCTTGATGTGTGAGTTTCTCATTCACCAATTTTGTGCTTAAATTGATAGGTCGCCATTTCATATGTTCAATTTGTTAGTTCATATGCTGATGACGTTTACTGTCCTCAGGCAGACATTGAATTTGGTTATGTCAAAAGGTCATAGCAGAATTCCTGTTCACTCTGGAAATCCTACCAATATAATTGGTCTCATCCTAGTGAGTATATCCCTCATGATTCAAATATTTTAATGAGAATCCTGCATTTGTGTTATATAGAAAATTTAAATAACCAATTTCCAATGATTTCTGTTCATGCATCTTCGGTTTTAGGCAATGACTAATATGAGTTTATTTCATTTGTCTAATATGCTTAATGGAGATACACGTTGAATTCTTTTATTACGCTTTGCTAAAATTTGTTTTAATTGGGAGATATTGCTTATGAGGTGCATGAAATATTCTTTCAGGTAAAGAATCTCCTAACAATTAACCCAAAAGATGATGTTCCTCTAAGGAAAATGACCATTCGCAAAATACCTCGGTGAGATAATTATTGTCATGTTTTGCTTTGGTTGACATGGCGGCATCTCCTATGCCTTGTATAATGAGTTAACCTTGAATTTTAGTTTGATTGTTTTCTATTGTTTGAATATAAACAAAAAAAGAAAGAAAGTCAATCAATTGTTTGATCTCGTATATTTGTATTTTGAATTTATTAGGCCTGAGTTCTATCTTGAGCCTGCTGTTATTACTTTGTTCTAGAAGCTGAGTTTTATATGTTTCCTCATCCACATGTCCATGCTTCAGGGTTTCGGAAAGCATGCCTCTTTATGATATGCTGAATGAATTTCAGAAGGGCCATAGCCACATATCAGTAGTTGTGAAGGACGTTAACGAGACTGCAGAGTCCTCAAACAAAACTAGTGAACCTAATTCCCATCAGGAAAAGAAGTTGAATGGCTGTGTGACAAAATCCCTGCCAGATAGTAAATTAAATAAAGGTTAGCAAAAAGTGTTACATATCATTGAAAATTTGATTCCTGAATATCCTTGGTTGCTTCTCTATTGTGTAGTTTTTTGTTTTGATAAATCTATTATGTTAGAATTCCTGTTCTCCCTTTACATTTTATTTACCAAATATTGTAAAAGACTGCCATCATTTGTAGGACACACTTTCCTGCTTATTCATATTTTTGGATGGAATATTTGTTGTTACTAGATTCTAGACTCTTCCCATGCGTATGCAGTTGCTATTCCATGGACTTATAATTGGTATTTTCTATGGTGTGATATGTTGGCTCTAGTGTTGTTTCATTTCTATATTTTCTATCTGCCAAGTAAATGTGCTAATTTAGTACAATGGGAAGGCTTAAGGGGTTATACATATAGATATTTTGTGAAGACAATTACATATTGCACTTTGTCAAGTAATATTCTTCCAAAATGCTGAGAGCCAGAAAATTTCAAGCCTCTGTTTTGATGTATTTTTTAGTCTACTAACTCACGCAATCACTCCTGCCAACAGGGCTGATATGCATGTCCCTATTGCTGATAATGTGAGCCAATCCTGAAACAAAACCAATGCTACAAGCTCTAGTATGGATGTCATATAGTTATTCCTCATTATAACATTATATAAAGTCCCTATCTTAACAAATAGAGCAGGCTGGTTGGCTATGTGAGCTTTGTAACACTCTTAAGACTAGTCAGAGGCTCAGATCAGCTGTGTCCATTTTTAGCTAAATTCTGTATCTTGAATGTTAACATAGGAGCTATATTTGAAACTGGTTCTAATCTTGTTTGTTTATCCCAATATCTGTTTTATCCTACTTTCCAACCCATGAATTATTCTCATTTATTTAGACAGGCAAGCTTATATGTAGTTCAAAGTTTCAAACCTATATTAGACAAACAGGATCACAGCTGAATCCATGTACTCTCTCTGTCCAGTATTGCTGTCCTCCCTTTTCCAGAGAAACTTCCCTTCTCTCAGCATATGCTCCTCTTCTACAATATTCAATGTCCTCCTTCTTTCGACCATTGATGAGTTTTGTGTTTTCATATGGATGCCATGTGTATGACCAGACACCTCGGGCTGTATTTCTCTCCAGCAACCTCCTTCCTTTCATCTACGCTACAATTGTTTTAACCCACATGTTCCCTTCTAATCTCTTTTCTCCACCAGAGATTAGCAGGGAAAGCTATACTTTAGTTTAAAAAGTAAGTCACACCCATGTTGCTCAGTTTCTTCTTGTATTGGAAGATGGAATTTTCTCACTGCTAAACTGATTTGATAGCTTGAGAAGTTTAAAGCCGTATGCAACATGTTGGATAGTTTCCATCACCCTTTTCAATAAGTATTGGCCATGGTTTTCTTGTGAAATTGATAGTCGAGCACAAGAGTATTCATGATTCACCTCCCATGTGTATTGCCCAATATTGTAACTCTTGGCTGCATGAATTTTATTAGGATTTCGTACTTTTATATGTGAAGTTTGCGCATTTTAAAATTTGCCCACTATAAAGAAATACAGAAAATTACTCATAGCCATCCCCATGCACGGGGTGGGGCAGAAAAAAGGGAAAGGTAGACAAGGGAAAAAAAATTACAAAAGGGAAAACAGATGAAAAAAAGAAGGGAAAAGTTTATATAGAGTCGAGGCTCTAAACAATCAAATTAGAGCCTACCTCAAAAATTTCACTAGAAGAGTCCCATGTGTATTGCTGTACTTTAAATTCCAATATTGTAACTCTTTGCCGTATGAATTTTATTAGGATTTCATACTTTTATATGTGAAGTTTGCGCATTTTAAAGTTTGCCCACTATAAAGAAATACAGAAAATTACTCGTAGCCATCCCCATGCACTGTGTGGGGCAGAAAAAAGGGAAAGGTAGACAAGGGAAAACAGATGAAAAATAGAAGGGAAAAGTTTATATAGAGCCGAGGCTCTAAACAATCAAATTAGAGCCTACCTCAAAAATTTCACTAGAAGAGGTTGTTTTGATGCCCAAATATCCTCAAATTGATCATCTCGCCATCAATATGCATGGACATGAGAAAAAAATGGATTTCAAGTTTTGAAAATAGTGTATTTTGTAATGCATTTTTGGACCGTCGATTTTCAAGATTTTCAAGTTTTTATTGATCGGTCAATCTACACTATTTTTTAAGCTTTAAACTTTATAAAATAAAATAAAAATATATTTTAAGGGTATCACAAAGATTTCCAATATTGAAACCACATTTCTCGACACTATTTGAAGGTAGGCTCTAATTTGATTGTTTAGAGCCTAGGCTCTATGCAAACCGCACCCAAAAAAAAAGGATATGTATGTTAAAAAGTAATTGGGGATAAGGCTTGAATTCATGTAGCCGATTCCAAATAATTGGGATAAGGCTTGGATGATGAATGATAATGATGTATGTTAAAAAATGATATGAAGATACCTTTGCATAAATGTATGTTAAATTCTTAGATATAACAGAGTTCTGGAAGAAAATTGAATTATACTAAAAATATAAGATAACAAAGTTTTAGAAAATTTATAGCAAGTCTATCAATACCCAATCCTCCATGTTACATCGTCTATACCCATGAGGCAGTTCTACTACATATCCATGATCCATAAATGGGTAATGGCGATGAAGTGTTCCTCTGCTCAAAGCCAGTCTAAGGTCCATGGAGATAAACTTGTAATAGGGAGCAAATGTTTGAATAATAGAGTAGGAACTTAAACCTGAATATGGCCGTATGGTATTACCTCATCTCCAAAGCTCATACTCAATATTGGACAATGGTGATGAATTGATTCTGCCAAATGCCAGCTGCCAGTCAATCAGTAAGGCCTTTGGAGATGAAACTGTAATACTCTTTTATAAAATTCGAGGGGATAACATATTTAAGTAAAAGATAAATAACTATTTGAAAGAGACTGTGTACCTAGAGCGGTGACAGATGGGATCCCAAGTCTTTGAGAGAAACTCAGAGATAGAAAAGAAGATCGATTAATGGACAGGGCAGATTATTTTTGCCATTTTGAGGAAGGATATCAATTGCTTATATCTTTCAAAAAAAATATTTGAGGAAAAATTGTTTATATTTTTCAAATTAATGGATGGTTTTTTTCACAAAGAGATAAGAATAGAGGCTGTTGGAGATAAGGGAAGATTGGTAATGTATTTGAAAGAACCTCTTTATGATAAATAGCCATTTCTATTCCAAACAAACCCTATTTATAGGAGATAAGGTAATTATTTTCTTTTTGGAAGTTTTAAGGAGGGAAGAAAGAGATAACCACCACGACTGGTGGAGGATGAAGACGTTGTGGGGGAGAGCAAGATTCCTTGGAGGCACATGGAACTTGCCAAATGTTACACACACCGTATTCTGCTCCTGTGACTATATATCTTCTATTTAGGTTGGGGAAGGACACCTTCCGAATGAACACATCCCTCCAAGGAAACAGATTTATTAGTTATAGATTAGCCTTTGCTATTGTTGTAAGAGGCGTTATTTCCCTGTTCTAGACACTAGTTGATCCTCAAATGAAGTTTTTATTGGATGTATGAACTTGTTGCGGAAAGTAACAACTGCAACACTTACACAAATTTCTGCCAATTCTACAAACATTGGAATGAGTTTACACTATAATTCTCATGATCGGTGAATTCGTGGATGTCCCATAGAGCATATTTTTTACTGTCCTGTCTGTGTTGATGTGCAATAAAATTGATATTCCTGGTTACAATTGCAGAAGATCATAACACTAACTTCACTAGGAGCAGCCAGTTGGGAGGGTCCAAATCTGAGATATCTGATTCTAACCCTGTGTGGATCAGGAAGGATGGAGAACAAAAGTTGAGAGATGGAGCTTCTGCACCTGCTGATTTAAAGAAGCGAAACAGAGGTAGCATGGAGTTTGTTCTTAATAGCGATCAGGGTTTTGTTCCAGATATTCAATACGACGATGAAGCTGTGGGCATTATCACTATGGAGGATGTGATTGAAGAACTCTTACAGGCAAGTGAACAGGATGTTAATTTTTAAGTATGATCGGGACATGATTTTTAGAAGATTTCTGTTTAAACAATATCCTTGTGTGCTTTCTATGCAGCATGCAACTTTGCCATTGTTCATTGGCAATATAATTCATGTCTATTACTTGATCTTCATAGTTTCTCGTTTATGTATTGAAATCTAATGCTATCTGCAAATGACACTTTCAATCGTTTCTACTTTCACCACTAGTGATTAAGGATAGTGCCTAAGGTAAACGATTAGCATGCAGACTCATTGGTCCATTGGCCGCATTTTCCAGTTCATACTCTTTGCCATGGCAAAAATTACCAAAAGTTTTTGCCTCCCTCCTTTATTTTACCGAAAATTGCATGACCAATGTTTTATTATATTTTCCATGTTTGATTGAGACTACTTGTGCTGTTGCATGACCAATTTTTTATTATGGAGCAATGAATCTCTTGAGTTGCACCAGCTTTTAGTGATTCAAATTCTCTGTGATTCAGGAGGAGATATTGGACGAAACCGACGAGTATATTAACGTTCATAACAGGTAAAAACTGCACTACATTCTTGTTCTTTCTCAGTGAATTGTTGGGTTGTGTGAGTTCTTCTGCTGACTATCTGAGGTGAACGAAACAGGATAAAGGTGAATGTGAAAGCATCATCTCCAAGGATGCCCCAAATTTCATCATCCCCGTCACGACAGATGCCTGGAATGGTTCCATCTTATCGCGGCCACAGTCCAATGCAGCAATCGCCTGTTTCCTCTTGTCCTGCTGCTCCGGGTTCCACTCGGACACTCTCGACCTCAGGAGGTACTTCAATTGCAGGTTCCTCTGATATGACAGGTTTGCAAGGTTCTGATACAGGAATTTGCAAGAGAGACAATTGAGATACCAGAGGTTGTGGTCTTTGATTTATACAAGTTATGAATTCGTAGTAAGAACATTAAGCAGCGCTCTGTCAGAGCAAATAGATGAGGGAAGACAACTCTTGAGTGGGGGACAGCCTAAATGTCCCAGTCATATGGATGGTGCATAATCATTATTTCATACGTGCGCTCTCAACACTTTATCCAGAGAGAGAGAGAGAGAGAGATTCTTTGATTTACTTGGAAAAAGAAAGAAAAAAATTCTTGTTGGATCTAAAAAATTATTAATGTCTTGTGATGATTGGAAGGAGAATTAATTACAAGATGAGGTTTCTATAAAGATTAGGCTTTATAAAACCAAAATAAAGTCTCACCTCAAATCTTCGTCCAGAAAGTATTTTTGGCAACGAAAATGTCCAACAGATATTAAATTTTGAAAATGAAAAAATGGTACAGATTTTACGGATATGTGAATATTTACATTTAGGGCAAAATGCACATTCTAGATAATTTGTTACAATTTACATTATTTTTAGAGCTTGAAATCTTATTTTTTTTTATAACCATAATGTTCAAATAACCATGATGTTCAAATTGAGATGATCGATGTAAAGGTTTTCCAATGGTTGAATTACAATTTTCTATGAGTTATGAGGTGAGGATTTAATTTATTTTTATGAGATAGGTGGACGCTTTGGGAGTCCCTGTAGTGCACCCAAGTTAGAGAGAGCGAGAGAAAACGCCCCATGCAATGAAAAAAGTCAGTTTCATTGTTCGAAATATGGTGAAACACCCACAATAATGCTTTGCTTCTGCCGGAAGTGATTATGAAATTACCGGGTCCATTGACATTTTTTTTTGCTTTCAAAATAATAATAATCAATCTTCACATTTAAGCATGAATGATAAAAAAAAAATTAAAAGACAGCATTAATAATTAAAAGAGAGATGAAAGGGACCTCCTCATTACTTTTTGATTTAGTTCTGCTGCATTACTAGTGTTTTTCACTTAGAAACTTGAGTTGGATTATTTTAGGTGTTTGTGGCAGTAGATTTGCACCATTTTTAGATATTCAGATTTTATAGAGGCTAAAATAGATTTGCAGGTCATTACCGATGTCCATAGCATTAAAATTGCATTTTTAGGGAGGGTTCTGATTTGTGTTTCTATCAAGTCATAAAAGCTCCTGCACACTTGGATATTTTATTCTATATGACTATTTACTTTTAGTATAAGGAGATCACAAATATTTTAGTTATTGGATGTGAAATCTGATATAGTTATTGGATGTGAAATCTGATATATTAAGATATGTCGTAACATTTCAGAATTTTTATTTTAGACTCTTTACCCAATTAATGTCGCATCCTCAACCAACAATGAAATAGTAATTGTGATCTCTTTATTCTAAATGTAATCGGTGGTCTTATTATATAAGCTGTCTTAATTTTTAATAGTTACTTATATGTTAGTCACTTGCTTAAACTCTGAAGATATGAAATCAAATCAAGGGCCTTCATTGCTCTCCAGTCCAGTTTCCTCAACAGACTCACTCCTAAGCATGCAATAAAATATTATCATCCAACCGTGGCTTTCCATCTGATCATATATATATATATATATATATATATATAGTAGGGGATAATATTTATTTTGTTAACTAAAAGAAAATGAAATTTTTTAGATTTTATTTTTATTCATGATTTTTTATTGCTTAAAAATTTGATAATTTTAAATAGAAAACAACACATGGTCCTTCTAGAGGCCTAAAATAATACAGTTTACGTTGTATAGGAAACATGACGTTCTCCTAGTTTTTTTTTTTCTGTTTTTTATTGAAAATTGTATTATTTGTAGAATTGATAATCTAAAATAAGAAATAGGAGAAATAATTTTGTCCAGGAATAGTGGAACACAACTTTAAAATTCTCAAAACTATCTCAGATCCCCTCTTTTTTTTTTCTTAGTAAAATGCAACATATGGGTAGTCTTATGAATTATTTAATAGTTGATTATGTTTAAAAGTATTTTGTATCAATTTAATAATGGGAAAAGTTTATATAGAACCTAGACTTTAAACAATCAAATTAGAGCCTACCTCCAAACTTTCACAAGAAGAGGTTATTTTGATGCCTAAATATCATCAAATTAATCAAGATGAACGGAGATGAGAAAAAAAAAATGGATTTCAAGTTTTGAAAATCATGTATCTTGTGTCGTATTTTTGGACTGTCAATTTTCAAGATTTATAAGTTTTCATAGATCTGTTCAATCTACACTATTTTTTAACTTTTAAATTTTATAACTAAAGATGAAAATATATTTTAAAGTTATCACAAAACTTACGAGTATTGAAACTATATTTCTCGATACTATTTGAAGGTAGGCTCTAGTTTGATTGTTTAGAGCCTCGGCTCTGTACAAACCACGCCCGTTTGTAATTCAATTAGTTAAGGCTGGGATTTATCAAAGTACTTGCAGAGATTATGGGATTCTGGAGAGACAGTATTCGTAATAGCGTGATTTGCGGAGAAATAGAATCCAGCAAAAACCACCAAAAAGAAAAAAAAAAAAAACAACAAAAGAAAAAACAATTTAAACTGCAAGAAGTACCGTAGTTGACTATCAGCTTCCACTCGGCATTCCACTCTTAGTTTTCTTTCTTCATCAATGAGTTCTGTCAAAAAATTATCTTCTTTCATCTCTCATGATCCCTAAATCAAGTATAGAGCTTCCTTTTTACTCAGCCATTTCATCCTCCCTTTCTCCTTCTTTTGAAAAAACCCAGATGGAGGACCTCCAATATAATACAAGTATTCCACTGTAAATTGTATATTTTAGTGTGGCCTGTACTACTGTAATACACCAAGAGAGTAGGTCTAGCACATGATATCTAACTAGTAGCAGGATCTTTTCCAGGAAGGTTGTTTACCTTTCCCTGTATCTATCAATCTACAATGGTGGGTCTTCTTCTATTGAGATCTTTGACATATTGAGTGATAAAAATATATATGGTTGGTGTTGGTGGGTTTGGAGAGTTTCCCTGGTTTGAGCATGGCTTTGCACCGGTTTGGGCGCTATGGTAAGCATCGGTCTCCTCCATTAACACGGGGCTTCTGCCTTAAGGTGGGCCTAGTTGTGTTTCTGAGCTTGTGCTTTCTGGTTCTTATATTTTGGTCCTCTACCTTTTCTTCTTCTTCCTCATCTTTTCCCTCCCAAAGGAACACCTTTACTGATATCTCTTCACAGAAACAACCACCACCACCCAAATCCTAGAATCGAGAACCAAACCATTCCTCTCCTTCTTCTCATGGTTCATCTCAGCTCAATAGCAATGTGCGCAAATCAGAGGATGGGCTTCCCAAGCAAGAGGAAAAGATCCATAATGGAGATGTCGATCGTAGTCCAAATCTGACTCAGAATGGAAAATCGAAAGATGGGGTCAATAGAGGAACCACTGAAAAAGACGTAGGAGAAGAGGGAGGTAAGACAAAGTTGGACACTGAAGAACTTGAGAAGTTGGTGGCTGAAGACCCGGATGAACTGTTGGGGGATGATGATGATGATGAGGGGGGGAAGACTCAGAGCGAAGAGTCTCAGCAAGAGCTAGAAAACGAGCACGAAAATGGAGGTGGGGCAAAAGAAGGAAAAGAAGAATCTACAGGTGAGGAAGACGCCACAAATGACTATACGGTTGAAGAGAATAATGGTTCAAATGATAAGGGGAAGAAGAAGAAGAAGATTACCGAACCCTTATTCGAACCTGATACTCAATATACATGGAAACTGTGCAGAGCTAAAAGTGGCCATAATTATATACCTTGTCTGGACTTCGAGGACGCCAATCCGAGGCTTCAGGGGCATCGGCACCAGGAGAGGATTTGCCCCAAAACAACTCCAACTTGCTTGGTTCCCCTTCCGGATGGGTATAGACTCCCATTGAAATGGTCAGAGAGCAAATCTGTTGTGTGTTTCCAAACTTCTCTCTCTTTTCATAATTGTTTCCAGTATGATGGTTACGAATGGGACATAGTTACCTGATTTCTTTGGTCATATGTTCTTGTGATTTCCACAGATTTGGTTTAGAAATGTGGCTCACCCAAAGCTTGTGGCATTGGCAAAAAAACAGAGTTGGTTAAGGATATCTGGTGACAATCTTACATTCCCTCGGAACAAGTCGCAGCTCAAGGGTGGTATGATGCATTATATTGAATCAATTGCAGAGGTATGTTTCTCTTCCCCAACATGGGTTTTGAATGTCAGATGCTCATTGCATATCAAGAAACAAAAATACAGTAGTTTCAAAAAAAAAGAAACAAAATACAGTATTTTTGTCTAAAATTGAGACCCCACTTCGTAATGACAATCTCAGTGCTATCAAAATGTCTTCTACCTATCAACTGTTCCAGACAGTACCACACTTGAAGATAGATTATGACATTATGGTGTATTATGGAATGAACATAACTGATATTATCAAATATCAATCGAAAATATATCACCATAGTGGAATTTATAAGAAAAAGAAAATAAGAAACTGCCAAAATGGTATAAGTTGTAGAGTACTAGATATCTTTACCTACTCATTAAACCTGGAGATGCATAACTATAGGTGAATAAATGGCTGGGCGTATACATGAGGTGCTCCAATTTGAGGGTGATGTGGAGACATGTACATGTGTTACCAGGTCTTTTGTTGTAGTTGGTCATTTTGTAACCTTAAGCTTGTTCGTAATGGGATCAAGTCTGCATTTTTCATTAATGACGATCTGTTTACTCATCTGACCATTATGGCTAGGGTGCAATGAAATTATGAAAGTGTTAAAATCATGAGTGATGTTGTAAGGTTCCACCTGTAAGTTCGTGTGGTAGGAAGTTGTAAAACTACTAATAGGTTAGTAGTTATAGTTGCAAGTGGGTAGTTATTGTAGGAAATATGGTTGTAAAAACCGCTATTTAAAGAGAGGTGTTTGGTGAGAAAATTGGGTTATATATTGAAGGTTAATCTTGGGTGTCAAGATTGTAATGCCTTTGTGTACCCTAGGTCACATGTGTTAAGGTTAATCTTCTGTGTTGATTATAATGCCTTTGTGTACCCTATGTTTTTCTTTAATGAAGGTTTTCTTCCACTTCATCTTGGTTCTTCTTCTTCTTTCTATTTGTTTGTGAGTCTTGGGCTAGTGTGGCATTGTCACACTAATTGAGAAGCAGATTGTTCCGGTGTTGTGACATCCGTCTTTCTCTACATGGTATCAGAGCCACAAAGGTGGTGGTTATGTGGTCTTGACTCCCTTGGTGAAGAAGATCAATTGTCTTTTTTAAGATAAATTCGGTGGAAGGTCTAATGATTTTAATGTTGAGTTGGGAACTCAACTCAAGGCGGTCTTTCTATTTCCCAATTCTTTTTAAAGATCTAGAATCTTTGTTTGGAGATCTCTCGTTGATCTAGAAGAACCTATTCGGTAGCACGAATAAAGTGACTTATCATTCATGGGTTAAAGAGGGAGTATATTCCCAATGTTACATCTATTCAAGGGTGGGTTATACCGCCCTACTTGGTGGAATTTGAGAATCTCTTTTGTGGCCTACTAAATTGCCGAATTTTCAATTTCGAGAAATGATGGAGATGATCGCGTATGTATGGTCTCCTTTTTAGAAAATCACTTTTAAGTGTTAAAATTGTTAAAGTGTATTTTCTAGAAAGTATATTAGTTTTTATGTTATTTTATCATGAGTGATGTTGTAAGGTTCCACTTGTAAGTTTGTGTAGTAGGAAGTTGTAAAACTACTAGTAGGTTACTAGTTATAGTTGCAAGTGGGTAGTTATTGTAGGAAATATGGTTGTAAAAACCTCTATTTAAAGAGAGGTGTGTGGTGAGAAAATTAAGTCACATGTTGAAGGTTAATCTTGGGTGTCAAGATTGTAATGCCTTTGTGTACCCTGGGTCACATGTGTTAAGGTTAATCTTGTGTGTTGAGATTGTAATGCCTTTGTGTACCCCATGTTTTTCTTTAATGAAGTTTTTCGTCCACTTCATCTTGGTTCTTCTTCTTCTTTCTATTTGCTTGTGAGTCTTGGGCTAGTGTGGCATTTTCATAATTATTGAGAAGCGGATTGTTCCGGTGTTGTGACATCCGTCTTTTTCTACATAAAGGACATTAAATAGAAAATACTTGAGCTACTCCTCGATGATCAATGAGTTTGAGGCTTAGGTCATTTTTCGGGTGCTAATCAGAAATGAACTTGGGGGATTCAAGACTTCGGATTTAGAAAACCTCTGGCGCACAATAGTTTGGAGCACCCAAAAAACTAGCCATCCACCCCATTAATGGCTTCAACCACCAGGTCATGAAGTAGAAACTTTGACGGAAGTTCTCCAGGTAATCCCAGCAACTAGACGGATGTACCCAAGAACTTCAGGCCATTGTGATGCCAATGAGGTGGAGATGAGCACTTCTTACTGGCATTTCAGCATTGAGTCAAGCTGATGCACAGTTTACATAGAAGTGGACTTAGCCAGTGCCATCTCTTGGGTAATAAAACTACAACTTGGGCTTGGCAATGAAAATTGGTGAACATTTTTGGCCAAATCTTCAATCTTTGTTTGGGTTTTAAGGTTTCATTTGGGCATGCTTGGAGAGATTCCGATGACCGAGCTGATTCTTTGGCATGGGAGGGGATTAACGGATTAGCACTCTAGGTTACATGTATCAGATCATGTTCCTAGGCCTTCGTTTCTTGCTCTTTTGTTATTTCATCATAATTTTTTTTTTTTTTCTTTCTTTTTACTGCATTAGTTACACTTGTACACCTCGACAGTAATCAATTAAATATTGTTACCAATCAGAGAGAAAAATATGACTATCTCTTTTGTTTCTCACTTGACATCTACAAAGAAAATGCCTTGGGGGAATATCTTTTCGTGCCAAGCATGTGCCCCTGGTCATTGTATGTCCTTGAAACAACTGTATCCAAGCCATGTATTAGCTCTTGGCATATACCCTGGGCCAACCCTATTAATTGCATGAGTTGTGTATCAGAACGGATATGAATTTAAGGTCCATCACCTTTAACTTATAGAGCTGCTAACCTCCAAGCTTGTAGGTCAGGCTAGAATTTTCTAAAGATCTTTCTAGTTTTCCCGTATAGACATGTATTTTATGTTAATTTGTCTTTTTGTATTTATCTACCAAAAATATTTTTATTCACTTCGCCTATATAGTAATAGATAACCCTTGAAATATGGCTCAAATCCAAAAAGTATTTTTATTCACTTCGCCTATGTAGTAATAGATAACCCTTGAAATATGGCTCAAATTATAGGCAGTTCCTGATCTTGAATGAGGCAAAAACATTCACATAATATTGGATATTGGGTGTTCAGAAGCAAGTTTTGGAGCTGTTCTCTTTGAAAAAGAGGTGTTGACATTGTGCTTGGGATTGAAGGATGATCTAATTGAGTATGCACAACTTGCCCTTGAGCGTGGTATTCCTGCAATTATTGCTGCTATGGGATCGAGAAGGCTTCCTTTCTCAGGTGGCATTTTTGACGCCATTCACTGTGGTGGTTGTGATGTCTCCTGGCATTCCAATGGTATGATCTTATTCTTGGTGATGTTAGTATGATATTGTGTCATTGTAGTATACACTTCATCAAGCAGTGTTCTTATGTAAGTGTTGTTTTGTAGGTGGGAAGCGTCTGCTAGAGATGAATAGAATTTTGAGACCAGGAGGTTACTTTATTTTGTCAACTTCACATGATGAAGTTGAACACTCTGAAGGTTAGTGCTCAAATTAGTCTCATCGTTTTGTTTGAAAGAAATTCTGTTTTTGCTGGTTTTTCCATCAACTTTTGGGTTGGAAAAATGTATACTTTCTGGTTTCTTGCTTGACATTGTATCCATTTTATGATACTGTAGGTCATCATCATCATCATCGTCCGAGCCGTTTCCCAACTAATTAGGGTTGGATACACAAATCGTAGCCCGCAATTCTACTTTATTAAGTCAGGCCATAAGTCCTCATATCTTTTCTTGCGATTTTCAATCATATCTTTTTGGGCCTATCTCTTGTCCTTTTTTATCCTTTCATGTGAACTAAACTTGCACCTCCTAACATGTGCTGTATTGGGCCTATGCCACATATGGCCAGCCCACCTAAGTCTATTTTCTCTCATCTTATCGTCTATTGGTACCACGCCTAAATTCTCCCAAATGTAAGCATTTTGAATTCTATCCCTTCTTGTCTTGCCACTCTTCCAGCTCAACATCATAATCTTAGCTACACTCATTCTATGGATATGTTGTTTCTTGATCGCCCAACATTCCTCCCCAAGATATCGAAAGTGTGCTCTTTTTGGTATTTCTTGGTCATCAATCTTAACTACTTCCTCGCCTTTACTCCTATTATTGTTAAACTTTCAATCTATATACTCCATCTTAATTCGGCTAATTTTAAAACCTTTAGATTTTAGAGCATCCCTAAAAAGTTCTAGCTTCATGTTGATGCCGTTTCGGGTCTCAAATCAAATGAATAAGAAAATTACAATCGTATTACATAATATCATATTCATGGCCCTTGTTGTGTGTATGGCTGACCCCATACTGAAAGTTGAAATTTGAGTTGTTCGTACCTTATGACATTAAAAAGTATTAGAAGCATGTTGAATGGGCTGCTGATATGCATAGCTCTTTGATTCTTAATATGTTGCATCTAAATCGTCACAAGTTGTCATCGGCACAATGTGTGTGAGACTCTGTACCTTTGTGTATGTTTTTGTGAACCTCTCCATCTCATTGCCTTCCCCCTCAGTTAGTTCACAGCCTCAGACATGAGCGAGAGATCTACTCTGGAGATTCTATTAACTAATAAACATACACGTCTCCAACCATCTTCTCCATCAAATACCGATACCAAAATCCATCCTAATAGGCAAACAACTCAGGCCTGACTCCACTTAATTGTATGTCGATTCTTATATTCACCTTTCAAACAATGTTGAGCATGCAAATCCAGTAAGCTTTGTCTATCAGAAAACAAATGCAAGGCTTTCTTTCTTTAAAATTCCTATATCTATACATTTATGGGTGGTGAGAACACCATTTAAGATGTGTTACACTTAATAAAACCTTCTTGGCAAGCAGACATCCCTAAGCCTCATGGAGAGGACCTTGATGACAGTTTTATCCAGACTACCCAGCTGGTGGTGGGTCAATTCTCCCAAATTTATTCCTTTTCTCCAACCAGTCTATGCAAACCTCTAAGGATGGTCCTCGCCAAGTTATAGCAATTTGACTATTATTAACATTACCTAGTCTTATCATACCATTGTCTGTGTGCTCCAATTATGGCTATTGTGGGGCAAGCTCTGACATATCTTTCTTATGATGGCTAACATGCTTCTCGGTCATCTTTTTTCAATGTTTTTGTAAGCCATAGAATTTTAGGGATAAATCACAGTAATATGTAGTTTTCATGACATCGTTTCTCGTATCGCTTTATACAGCTATGTCGACGATTACGGCTTCCATCTGTTGGAATATCCTTTCTCATAAAACAGATGATGTTAGTGAGGTTGGTGTAAAGATCTATCAGAAGCCAGCATCAAATGATATTTATGAGTTGAGAAGGAAGAAAGACCCTCCGTTATGTGATGAGATGGAAAATCCTGATGCCGCCTGATAAATTTATGCTTACATTTCTGAGTTTGGTGCCATCCCAAGTTGGTGGTTGCCATTAGTTTGGCTTCCTCTCCTGAAATGATTTCAAGATTTCATTTCTATGATGTTTCTTCCCTGCTTGACTGTTTGAACATCTGAAACAGGTATACTCCCATAAAAATGTGTCTCCATACAGCTCCATCTTCCATTGAACAACATGGGACTGAGTGGCCAGAGGAATGGCCCCAAAGGCTTGAAACTTATCCCGAGTGGTTAAACCATCCAAAGGAAAAGTTTGTTGCAGACACTGAACACTGGAAAGCCATTGTCAGCAACTCTTATCTTAGTGGATTGGGAATTGCTTGGTCGGCTGTGAGGAACGTAATGGACATGAAAGCAATATATGGAGGGTATGTAGGATAATTGGGATAAGCAATCTTTTTTGTATGCCATGATACCAGGAGTCATTTTATCTTTTCGTTCTTAACTCACCTGAATTATGTGGGCCTAATTTTTGGGGGCCTTGCAAGCTTGAAATATTTACGGGGTTGTTGTGAAGGTTTTTCTTTTTCGCAGGTTTGCAGCAGCAGTGGTACCACAAAAGGTCTGGGTAATGAATGTAGTTCCTATAAATGCTCCGGACACACTTCCATTAATCTTTGAAGGGGGGCTTCTTGACATTTACCATGATTGGTGTGAGCCTTTCAGCACTTATCCGAGGTCCTATGATCTTTTGCATGCAGATCATCTGTTTTCTCGGCTCAAGAATAGGTATGAAGTGCTCGTACTTCTCTATGTGTAAGTACATACTGTAATCCGTTGGGCTACAGAAAGCATAACATGTTGGGTTCATCACCATACAACAAAATGCTGATTGGTTTTGTGTGGGTCCCATTCTCTCTCCATTTCGATGGATGGTGTTGATCTCAATGGACTGTGGTCCGTAGTACACTTTCTGTAGATGTTGTTGATCTCAATGAACTGTAGTCCTTAGTATAATTTCTGTACCGTAGATGTCATTTTGCTTTTTCTAGTCTTTTTAGCAATAACATCTTATTTGTTGGTGGGGAAAATAGGAACTTTGTATCTCGAAATTCCTGTTCTTTTTTTAAAAAAAAAATTTTGATGGTAAAATTTGTATTACTATACCAAAAAATTACATTGTATAATGATGGCCTGCATACCGGGCCGTCCTTCAAGAACATATATAAAAAATGGTGCTCAGGGTGGGCATGCCATACATCATATAAGAAAGCTAAAAACGAAAGAAAACTTAAACTGCCAAAAAATGTGGAACAGAGCTCGAAATGTGTTGGTTCCACTATTGAGTCCTGAAGAAGCTCCTTCTTTTGCAACTGTGTCCATTCTAGAGTTACCCTCGCTCCACTTATGTCAAAAGGAGACTCAAATATGCCAGCAAAGGAAGGACATTTGCTCAAAGATGTGGCAGATAGAGACCCCCAAGGCCCACGCAATGACGTATTTCAAATTCCTTTTATTAAATAGCATTGTGTTCTCATCTCTTCTTTTCTACTCCTTGGCTAGGTCCCTTGCGTACCTTCAATTAGTTCCTTGTTAAAAATAGCATTATATTCTCATCCTTCCTTACCTTCTTTTTCATAGCTTTGATCAATGGGAAATTTATAAAAGTACACCTCAAAGTTGAACTATTTAACAATTACCCTGTTTGTGATTTGGTAAATTTCAAAACCGAGTTTTATGTGTCATTTGATGAGATATTTAAAATTTGATCAAAAGAATAATGGTCTATATGAAATTATATCAATAAAATGTTGGTAAAGATATTAAAAATTTCGATCTTAGGTGTAGTTTAATAAATTTCCCTTGATCAATTCCTCCCACACATTATCTGAAATCAATGCTCTTTATGTTTCACAACATGTGGGCGCATCAACATGTGGGCGCATTTGCAGGTGCAAGCCTCTGGGTATTATTGTGGAAATGGATCGACTATTAAGGCCTGGTGGCTGGGTGATTGTTCGCGATAAGGTGGAGATCCTGGATCCACTAGAGGCTATATTGAGATCACTGCACTGGGAAATCAGGATGACATATGCCCAGGAAAAGGAAGGAATACTCTGTTCGCAGAAAACCATGTGGCGTCCAAGTCAAACACACCATGGATCAAACTGAACTTTTTTTCAAAGATGAAATTGTTGATTGTTGAATAGTACATTTTACCTCCATTCTATTCCATTTTTTTGAGGGAGAGGATGAACAGGGGAATCATGGTATTGTTCTGAGGTACATGACCTTTTCCCTTTTTCTTATCTTGGAATTCTATATGTTCTAGTACTTGATCTTCTAATGCGGCATGATGTGACAGATATATGCAATCACCTATGTATCACAGCAGCTCAGCTTCATGGTTTTCAATGTGCTTCCCCTGATCACCAGACTCTAAGTTGTGAGTTGGGTCTGGACACTGGACAGGAGTCTATTTTCCTATCTATTTATTTCCACGTTATGTTGGGTTCTCTTTTTCTTTTTGCGGTTTTTCTTTCTTTTTTTTCTTTTTCCATTTTTGATGATTGCTATGCACGCGAGCCCTTGAACCAACTTTTTGCCACTGGCTACTGTAGTTGAGTGAGAATATGTTGGACAAAGTTAAAGTACACCGAGAGCTTTCTTCATTCTCTATTTTGTTTTATTTTCGATTCTCATAGACTTTTCCATCTTCCTGGCTTTCCCTAGTTGTGGCATTCAAGTTCCGAGTTCAGATGGAGCTCGGTTGTGGTCAAGCCACATTTGAGTTGATATTTGGAATGAAAACCAAAGCGATTTCTTATAGAAAATAAAAAGACCACTTGAGTACTGATTGGTTTAAGTACCTTCAATCTCTACTACAGAAGATTGGCTCTTCCCTTTTTCGTGCTACTGTCATTTCTTAGTTTTGACGAAAACATTGGTTTCTATTAAGCTGCAAGTTATAATGTGTCTGGGTCGATGCTGCTCTAGAGCATGTAGTGAGCACACATGAGCTGCATTCTTTTACTTTGAGCTCATGTCTGCAACTGATAAGGGGATTATGCTTGAGATGGAGATTTTAGACTGCATAAAATTCAATTATGTGGTGAGACATTTTGCCTGCATTCAAATGTTCTAATATGACAAAGAAAAGAGATATTAATTAGGCCTAATGACAGTAGAGACCAAAGGAGAAGTGCTCCTTCATGACATGGAATTAGGGCATCACAGAGTTGGAAATGGGGAAATGAGTTAAGGAGGCTTTCATGGCAGCAGGGTGTTCCCTGTCTGTATGGAGAACAGTAACTAAAAATTTCTCCCCATGAGACCTAAATCACGTGATGGTGACAAATCTTGAATTAAGAAAGTTGGTTGTGAAGTCTAGGCCTTTTCAATTACCACATTTTATTTCCTTAAGTGGGTTTTTGATGAGTACTTTAGAATTCTGGACTAATAAAATAAAAAAATATATATACTAAGACCATTTACTTTTGGTACAAGGTGATCACAATTAATCTTGATCATTGGATGTGAAATTGAGTGGCTGCGTGTATTTTATTGATCAAGTTTAAAGTTTAAAAGGAATTTTTTCGAACTTTATGACATACGCAAGATATCAGATTTCACATTGGATGGCACCTGTAACCCTTTGTATCAAAAGTAAATGGTCTCATTACATATAATTCTATATAAGTTACAGCTTGGTTATAAACAAGGAAAATTGTTTCATGCAAGCTGGACTGCATTTCCACATGTGGTCCAAAAAGTGTAAAACATCTATCTTAAAGATGGATGCAAGTAGTTTCATCTAAAAATAATGGAACTACTGGTCCAAATGTTTTCTTATTAAAATGGTTATTTCTAGTTTTTAAATTTTATTTATTTTTTCATATTCATAATCTCTATGTTAGAGATTACATATCCTTAAAAAATAAGTCCTAAAATCCATCTCAAATATAAATTTATTAAGCAGACCGTATTTCTACATACGCAAGCTTAGCTTCATCGAAACCGGGTCCTATAAGTAATTGTGATTTCTTTCTATCGAAAGTGTTAGTATACCATGGCTTTGTGGTTTTAATTGTGACTTCCTTGTATTGAAAGCAGCGTTTTAAAAAACGCCAAGTCGAACGGGACTCACCCGGTTCGACTCGAAATTCGCGAAAAGGGATCGGATCGGTTGAAAAATCGGAAATCGTCCGTTTCTAGAGAGAACCGGACGATTCCGCACAGTGACTCGCCGATTCACTGTACGGAATCGGGGAGTCCGAACAGTGAATCGGCGACTCCGTATGG